GCCAAATAAACATGACGTTCAACATAATGTATATGATGCATCCTATGAAAACGAAAAACAAATACAGAAGCAGTGGTGTAGTTCCTGGGCGGGGAGCACTGATGAAGTGTTTTTGCAACAAGTGGGGGTCCAGCTCTTTAAGCAAAATGACCAGTGCGTACTCCTCCCGGTCTCTGTGTGCTGCCTCGTCTGTTACACATATGTCCCCCGGTACCCTGCTCGCAGAGAATGCGCTGAGCACAGTGTTGGATGTTGGACTGCACCATTCCTGCCGTCTCCACCAGGGAGGCTGTAATCCGATCCTGTTTGGAGGAGCCGTCGTGCAGCCTGTGAAAAGGAAGAGGGCACTGCTCCGCGCTCTGACGCTCTCCCCTCCACTCCTCCCCTTTCTGCCGAGTGTCACCCTCTTTCTCCCTCATCTGTTCACTCCCTGCTCGGTGAGGCTGGTCGGCGGCGCACAAACCACCGGGATCGTCGCATCGCATTGTTCACCTAACACCCAAAACCCCGTTTAAGTCGGCGTATCACGGCGGAGCTTTCACCTCCAATTTTTTTTTTTTTCTTTTTCTTTTTTTTTTTTTTTTTTTAAATGCCTTTACATGGGGAATCTACTGCATGCACGCCAGTCCGGTGACGTGCCCGAGCATGTTCACACTAGAGACAGCGTCGGATTTACCTGAGAGTACACAGCCCTCACACTGTCAGAGCTTTCTCCCCACCACGCACAGAGATTTGGACTTCACCGACTGTCACTGAAGAGGAAAAAGGGGAAACACACCGGATTACAAGGATGGGGTTCTACGGCACTTTAAAGATGATTTTCTACAAAGTGAGTAGGATTTCCGCTTGTACCCACCGCCCGTGTCACCTCCAACACATCTCCGTTTCTCATTATTTAATGTTTGACTCGCTCTGTCGCCCTCATTATCTTTGACGCCCCTCTCACGGCAGATTGTGCGGCCACTGCGGAGGATGAACAGCAGTATAGCAGACCCCCAGAGACGCCGCTTTAATTGCCGGGGCCTTTATGTTATGTTAGCGTAATATCACGACGCGATTTGGCATCCTTTCCCTTCATAGTAACTTCAGCCGCGTAAATAAACGCCACCGCCGTGAGTCAGGAATAATCAGTGCATTTGTAAACGGGTTGCGGCTGTGGCACTTTTATGGCCATTTAATTCTGCAGTGCTGGATGAAAATGTGTCCGTAATTCCGCGTTTTTAAACTACTGAATTTGGCGTTTGTGGATGGCAATTTAGCCATTGCGATGGCTCGATGCTCTCTGCACCTGAACACCAACTGTGTTCCTCCCTTTCGCATAACCTCGTAACCACAACACATATTTTATGTACTACACATAAATGGCTGATGTCACCCCCATCTATGTTTTTAATACATGCAGACTTTCATTTTTGTAAATAACTATCAGTTTCTGGCACAAAAACAGCCAGTTGCCCCTGCAATCCTCCCCAGTTTGCAGGCTTATTATGATTCTACATTATGCAGCAGTGGTTATCTTGCACTGTCCAAAGTGACTGCCTGAGATGCATGCATGTGATCAGTCTGCTGTTGCCTGTTGGAGTAGCCTATTCCCTGACATTGTGCACTTGCCTCAGGCTCCAAGCACAGATAATGGGTCACTGTGTCAGACTGTGTGAGGTAGAATATCCTCAAGGATGTTGGGTGTATTATGGCTGGATGGCAGCCATGAGATGATGTTAGTTGGGAATGCAGAGTACAAACAAAAATATGAAAGGGAATCCATTATGCAGAGCGTGTAATGTAAACAGATTTGTTAATCATTTAAAATCTGACTCTGAAAGTCCCTCATAGGGGATTTTTTTGTGTAGCTGTGTGCACCCTGTGTAGTGTTGAAGCTTTTACTCAGTTAAGCCTAATAATTGAGTGAAAATGTAATTCTTAATCAGTGGGTAGCAGGTTATAGATTTGAAGGTTCGCTCATTTGAATTCTCCATCCATTTTGTGGATTTTTTTATTCTAATAGCTCTGGATTTTGAACTGAATTTCTGTGCGGGTCTTTGCCTGCACCCACAGAAACTGAAACACCAAGATTGATTTATTGTAATGACACGTTTGCGCCGATTTTTCTGGTTTGATTGTAGTTTTGGTCCTTAACAGTTCTGCAACTTGCTCATTCTCTCCAAAATGGCCAGTTCTCGGATTCAAGTGTCTCTGCATCTCTAGCAGTGCTGATTGACATGATGAAACTGTTTGATGTCTGCTTGGAAGACTGTTTGAAAAATGAGAAAAGATGTTTCAAGTGACTGATGCTGCAGGATGTAGCCTTCGTAGAAATAAATCAACACATTATGTAAGAGCGATTGCTGTCTTTAAAATATCATTAACTCTCTGTTTATCCATCTGTCGTGCTTTTGGCCAGATAGGGAAGGGTAAGCCAAGAGGAGGAAGGAAGGACTGATTAGTAGTGATTTACAAACACTGCGCTCTCTTGTTACCTTTTCTCAGGCTGAAACACAAGAAGAGGCTGGTTATATGCTTTTTTTTTTTTTTTCTTCACGCCTGCATTTAGTTTGAGGCTTTTTGTTTTTTGTTTTTACATGTTACACACAGACGTGCACAGTCTAAGCCAGCCAGCACTCCCCCCTTTTCTTTCTCTCTCTCTCTCTCTCTCTCTCTCTCTCTCTCTCTGAAACACACACACAAAACATACGCTCACACACCCAATGCATGCATACACACACCCAGGCTCTCCTTGGCTACTGAACTGCCATTGCAGTGAGATCACCGCTTTAAGAACAAGGCAGTCGGGTTCAAGAACCGGATCCTAACAAGCAGGGATATCTTCTAACCCCCTCTTAATGTTCTTTAGCAGTTAAACAATCTCTACCAGCCAGATATGTTAATTGTAGACAAGTGGAACCTAAGCTACATTCCCGCCTAGCTTTTGAAAACATTCTGAGCACATCTACATCATCTTTTTTTTTTTTTTTACATTTCTCTGCCTTTTCTATACATTATCATCATGATTAACTAGAGCTTTTTATGGCTCTTTCCTTGAACTGCTCTGCAGCTTCACACATGAGCTGGCTTGTGAGGAAAGGATCACAAATCATTGGTCAGATCACAGTCTAATGTCCCGGGGGCACATAACCTGCATTTGCATGTTGACGTGTGCTGGTCATGTGCACATACCTATATAAACCAGGTTGACTGGTTGACTGTCACTTGCTTTGGTGCATTGATTCTTAGGTAGGGATCCTGTATTGATACCTAATGAATAGATGTAGTTGCTGATCTCCTGCTTACCACTGAGGGTTTCTGAGTGAAATAAAACGTTTTTGTCATCTTTTTTTTTTTTTTTGTCTTGGTTTGATACATTACGTGCAAACGTGCGCCTGAGGCTGAAAACACAGAACAAGCGCACACTCACCAAATTATAGTGATAAACGAAAACACATATCTTGAGGAGGGACATATAATCATTCCACTGTAAATCCAGACAGTATGGAGTCAAATACCCAAAGCTCTTATCTTCAACAGCATTTATAGCAACACTGCAATAACATAAATGCATTGTAAGAGCGTTGTTTGCCTCAAAGGAAAAAAAGAAAAGTTAATTTTGAATGTGGTTTCTGGTTTCTACAATAGCAGTCCCCAGTACAGGTTGTGTCTTCCTGGACTGGAACTGTAGACAAACTGTTACCAAATCATTTCACCCTAAATGAAAGTGCAAAAGCCTGAATTTGCTGTGCCAACAAAGCAAAAGAACAATGTGAAATAAACAAAACATGCCACGTGCTACAGTGCAGGAATAAATCGCTCATGTGCAAAATGGATGTGTATTGATTGTCAAAATATACCCTTGGTGGTGTGGCTGATTTCTACAATATTGCTGATTTGCTGTGAAGCCTAGAGAGATTTGAGAAAACAGTCTTTTTGTCACTTTGTTGAATCAGTGGCTTTACTGGAGGCTGAAACTGTCAGACCGTGATCAAATGTAGCTGAGCTTTCACTTACACATGAAACATATTTAATTAATCAGAGAACAAGGCCAGATTGTCACATTGTATATTTTTTTTCTTCCAGACACTTGAAATCGGTGTTCAGTTACTCTGTTTGCTTGTTTATTCATGAGGGACCGGCGATGCGATGGTGATCACTTGCATGTGTGGTGAGGAGCGTTGCCAGAGAAAGTGGCAGGCATGGGATGAGGAAAATTGGCTTGCCCAGGCCCTTACACAGACTCCTTTGTTTGCGCAGTAGGGTAGGTGGTAACAGGGACTGGGCGCTGTGTGTTCATGCAGGTGATATTGAATGATAACGAACTGACGTGGTCTGTTTTTCTTTCTCAAGTATCGGTGTGAATCAGACTACAGTACCAAAGACTGCACCCTGTACCATCCCCGAACAATTCTTGTGTGCACGAACATACTGTACCCCGTGGAGTTCTGGGTGTGAATGTGTGATTTCCTCTGGATATTATGGGGTGTCTGGTTGCACAAGGATTGCTGTTCACTTGTCATGTCCCTCCAAAATGGGAAATAATCAAAATAAAGCACAACAGTGTAAAACAAGCACCTGCTTTGTATCCTGCCATGTCATAATGTTGAGCAGCTACATTTATAAATGGGTCTTATCTTTCTGTTTTCTTATGGAACATGTTAATAAACGGAATGAATCTCTAGCCTATGCATTAAAGATTAATTTCCCATTTGCATAAAGCTGTTGCAAGACTGTGGTGTCTGTTTTTTATTATGCTGAATTTCAGACATAATGTTAACAAAGTCTGTAACTTGCAAAAGTGATTTTCCTCTTCCACCACTGCTTTTAAAAGCTTCTATGACCCTTGTCCTTTCTTAAATTTTCCTTTTCAAGAGCTGCCCTCTCACTTAAAAGTAAAAACTTATCAAAAGGATGCCATATAATAATTCAATTTGTTTTGTGTTTCAATACAGTCTCATCCATTTTTTTTTTTTTTTTTATGGTTTCTAATGTTTTTATTTTGTTTTCTTTCTTAGATGAAAAGAAAGTTGGACCATGGCCCCGAGGTCCGATCTTTCCCTTCAGGAAAAAAGCCCTGCAAAGGCCCAGAGTATCCAAGGTAAAGACACCTTTATTTCAAACATAAGACATGTATTTGTCCTGCAGTGCCCTGCTTTTGTGTCCCCTCCTAGGATCAAAAGGATTTTAGTAGAAATTAAATTTTGAAGAGCATTATCTCTGTAATTTCATGCTGTCCACATATTAAAAGAAAATAAATAATAAAATAATATCTTGAGGTATGAATAAAGATGCTATATGTGTCTTCAAATAGAATGATGCTTCACATTTCATTGTGTTTGCAGCATCCAGCACACAGTCCCAGATGTTTCTCTAACCCTAAATATTTAATGTATGTGTTCACATGTAGCCACATTAAAATTCAGACTGAACACAGCCACTTAACTGTAAATGTTGCCATCTAACTGGCCTCCGTCTCAGCTTCCTCTCCCATTAAAAATGAATCAATAATGAAATAGACCCCCAACTTCCCATTTTGCTGTCAGCAAGCCGACTCCGACGTGCTGAGGGTGCCCACTGGCCAGTTTCTCCTGCTGCCCTTACATTACAAGGGCACATTGGTGCCTTTTGAAGTCCTGTGCTGCTTTTCACGCCCCGGTTCTGACAACAGGAGAGTCTGGACCTAACAGAAATCTGTGGGACTGTGTGCACACTTTGAAGTCTGAGTCAGAAATATGTGTGTGCAGTTTAGTAGTCATACTAAGCTAAAACTAATGCAGTCCTGCAATAAATCCTCACTTTATGAAGGTTATAATATATTTTTGTTGATAGGTGTTGATTCAACTTTATGGTCATTTTGTAGGATGTAATTTGTGGTGCTGTTGAACTGTATTGCATTATACATGGAAGTGTTTTCATTATGTAACCTACCCTCAAATGAGACGGAAAAAATGGTAGAAACCGTCTGTCAGTATAACAAAGTAGTTTGGAGATCTTTCAAGCTAATGCTTGCAGTCTTGTGATTTTGATGTTCAGTTTGAAACAACAAAACTTGTGATAAGGACATAGACGTATTCTTACTGCTCTGAATGTTTTGGTGCAGTGTGAAGTTTGCTTTTTGTTTACATCTGTAAATTTAGATTTCTTTGGACTGTTATTATGTAACTATTTCAATTATGTAAGAATATCAAAGCTGCTGTTGGATCTGAAGACAATAAATGGCTTCTTGGCTGTGTAAATTCAAGATATTTTACATTTGATCATAACAACACAACCATTCATTTGGTCATAACTTGTACATAATAACAAAAAAGGGTAAATTAAGAAAATTGCCTTGAACTAAAAAGAGAACAGTGTTGCTTTCAGCTCTCTTTTTTTATTTTTTTTTTTATTGCTAAATCCAATCAGTGATGGGCAAAAATGCAGCTTTAAATATGTAACTTTGCAATATTGGCTGCCCCATTTAACCACCGGCCTTATTTAGTGTTATTGGTGTTGTCAAAATAATTTTTAGTGTAAATATCTGCAAAGGCCTCGACAAAACTAACCCTAATAAAAATAAACATTCTCATAATGTCTTTATTATTGACCTCATTAATAGTGGATCCTTAATATGTCTGTCATGTTCCTGTAATGTTTATGTTTTCTTCCCTTTTTCTGTAATACTTGCAGTGCTTTCACATCCTCGCTCTAAAGCCTGCACTATTTGCCTCTAACAGTCTCATAACGTTATTGATTTTTAAGTCATTTTCATTTTTTCCTGTAAATTGCAGCCCGACAGGAATTGTCCCATGTCCAGCCACACCCACCACATTTGGCCACATCAGAACAGCCAACGGTCAGGGGCAACAGAGACGGCGTATCACCTCAATCCAGCCACCCACGGGTCTCCAAGAATGGCTCCGAACATTTCAGGTGAGCACAGTGGAGTTTTATTCTTCTTTTTTTTCGGTCCCCTTGGGCGACTCTGAACCCTTGAGCAAAAGCTCATCAAACAGCAGATGTTGTGCCCAATCAATGTTCACTTAGTCTCAGAGATAATTGCTGCCTTGTTGTTCTGGCCCATCACATTACCATAGGCACTGTAGCGTGGAATTGGAACTAGCCCTACCTGTTCAGACTAAAAAGAGTTATAAGATCATGTGTCTACTGTAGACTTATCGTCTGTATTAAAAGTTAAACAGATGTTGTCGTCTGTGATCCCTCTGAATTAATGAAGTTACTGCAGGATGATCTAAGTCTATGATTACCTTGTCATTTATTTTCACTGCATTATCTAAGGAGGATAATGCTGACTTTGGTTGTCTTAAGAGGTCATTTTGTGTTCATGATGAGAAATAATTTGCTCATATTTTCAACCACCTCAGTGATTACTGTTAGTGTCTCTAGAGACAAGGTAATACTGCATTCATTTTTCCACATTATAGTTTACCTCACTTTTATATTCATGTCGCTGTGCATCATTTTCTGTATGGATGCATCATAACAGCGTTTTCTTTCATGTTAGACATCAGCTCTAATGATTCCAGACCTCATTGAAATATCATGTCATTTAAACATATTAGCCTTGATGGGGTCTGTCTTATTTCCTATATAATAGGTTGCCATGGATTTTATTACCTAAGAGAGCTGTAAACTCATCATCTTCGAATGGCTGAGCCAACCTGGGACACTAATGTTTATTTTAAACATATTAATCCTCAGGCCTGACCTACCACTGTCTACTGATTCAGGCTACAGGCACCTCAAACTTACATTCTGTACATTCCCCAGTCCAGTCCTAGCCTGTAGCTGCCATTATAGATGGAAACACGAGTACAAAGCGGCGTGCAGTAGCTACAACGAATGTTTTTTTCATTAAAACTGGTCATATTTTGGGATTTCGCAGGATAAAAACAAGGACACACTGTCATGGCAAAGTCACATTTTACATTAAAGGATTAGTTTGAGATTTTGGGAAATAATACACTTACTTGCCTTTGTGCCACGACTTGGATGAGAAGATTGACACCACTCTTGTGTCGCTCTATTAAATATGAATCCACAGCCAGCAGCCACTTAGCTTTGCATAAAAACAAAGACAAACAAAATCTACTTACCAGCACCTCTAAAGGTTACTCATTATCCTGTTATATCTCGTTTGTCTAATCTGTACAAAAACCGGAGTGTAAAAAAGTTGTGATGTTATGGAGGTGTGTGTGGGGCTATTTCTTTCTTTCTCCTGAAATAAATTTAAATTACTCATTTGTCCTACTAAACTTTCTCTAAACCACAAGGCAGAGCCAGTCAGTATTATGAATGGCATAAAAGATTAAATAATTGCCTCTTCAGTGTCTTTGTAGCTCATGGCAGTCATACTTCAGTCACCTTTTTGGTCTTTTTGAAGGCTGAAGAATTCAGTATGACTTTTTCAGCAGATACTGAAAGTGTTTCCCTGAATGTCTGAGCTGAAGTATTTCATCAGCAGCCCATCATCATAATGATTAGCTGATCAAAAGAGTAACACTTGTGCATGATCAAGCCAGCCTGAATTTCCTGCATGTTCTAAGTATCAGCACTGTGATTGTAGATGTTGACTGTTGGTTTGTCTCACAGTTATTCTCAGGGGATTGTTGAAAGAAATTCCGGGAAGTTTTAAGAAATCGGGTACTAAAGCAGAAGTAGGTCTGACGTGTTGAACGGAAATGTGGTTTATGATAAACAAACCACAATTAAACATTCGAGTGTGTCCTGGAGACTCCTGGAATACACTGAGCTCTACAGAAGTTTGATTTCAGATAAATAATCAGGAATATTCTACAATGTTTACACCTCATAAGGATCAATGAAAAGTCTTCAACATATAAGGAACTTGAGGAAAATATCTGAAATAACAAAACTAACAAACTGTAAATTGTAAATTGAACATTAGATATGGTGAAGTATGTTCATGAATAGATAACAAACTAGAGGATAGAGGGTTTACTAGCAGTCTAAACGAAAAATCCCCTCTCAGGTTGAGACTTGTGAAACTCTGGTCTTGAGGATTCTGTTTGAACAAAAGCACCAATAATCCTTGGGAGAAGATGTTGTAACACATGAGTAACTGTTGCGTGGTCCTCCCTCTGTTAGGGGGGGGAGGTCTCTGAACCCCTTGATTGCCTCCACAACTAGCACCTCTGGCTAAAGCTTTTAGCTGCCAAATTACAGGTGGTTTGCGTGTGCCAGATTTTCCATCCTGCCTCCTAGCCTGTAATCATTGTTAGGTTTCAGCACTCCGCAGAGGAAAACAACTCTGGCTGTTTGGTCCAACATACAGTACAGCGCTATTCAGCCGCCAGCGTTAAACAACTGAATGTTGAAGCAGAAGAAACAAAACCCCAGGGAGCTCTAATAACGCTGTTGATAGTGTCTTGTTCCTGATGTACAAATTTTCCACTAATGTGTTGGCTACTAGCAGTAGGCTGGCGCCTCAAGCTACTCTGTGCTGCTGTGGAGAGCACGTAGGGAACATTAAAGAGTTAGAAACATACTGCACAAAGCTGGATGTTTCCAAGATACTCCAATCAAGGTGTCAGCCTTTGGAAAGAAAACACCTTACATAAGCACACCTGGGCATCTAGTTTGATGGCGGTAAACTGGGACAATCAGCCTGTAACGCCCCAGTGCTGTATTTTCAGTTAACGCTGTATGTTTACAGCTGGGTTGGGTGTGGCACTCCAGATGTGGACGTGCAATTAATATGCTGACAGTGTTCAACTAGTGCATTACCACCCGTGATAGCCAGCTTGCAATATTTATTTTGAGAACTGGAGAGGACAGTGCAGAGAGAGGAGTACAGACTGCAGTGACATAAAAAAGAAAATAAGTATAAATCAAAACATTTGCCAGAGGTACCTTCACATCGACTATAAATACCATTTTACCACTGTCAAAATAGAGTAAATCTTAACTTCTGGAGGGTCAGGATTCTTGGATTTCATCATGAGTTGACTATCATTAGCTGTGTTGAGACTATTCATGTGCTTCATCTATTGTGCATTGTGTTGAGTTGCTGGTTTCAATAGATCTGCTTTCAAAAAAAAAAATAGAAGTCCTGAGCACTTGTCCTGAGCCACTGATTATGTTTTTTAGTTACCTCTGTTCCTATAGAGTTTGAACTCACTTATTTTAAGTCACATTAGAAAGAAGCAACAGCTAAATTACTGTAATGTAATGTAGCGCATGTAATTTTTTAATAACAACATCCTCTGTTCCAGAGCTGGACTGGCCCAGAGAAGCTGCTGGCACTGGATGAGTTGATTGACAGCTGTGAGCCCACACAAGTCAAGCATATGATGCAGGTGATTGAGCCGCAGTTTCAGCGAGACTTTATCTCCCTGCTGCCCAAAGAGGTGAGTACCTGAATCCCCCTTCTCTGTTATCAATTCGCAACTTCCTTTCTAGCCCTTATCCTCCTCTGCCTCTTCCATCTGACCTGAACTTCCATGGGAATCCTTGGTGGTGGACGTCATTTCTGAATGAACATGCTTGATAATAGAGAAACATGGCTTCCTCTCAGGTCCTAATACTGTCGCAGTCTTCCCTTACATCATCTTAACTGCATCTGTAGTGGGTGTCTTGTTTTTGCTTTGCGTCATAACTGACAATACAGAAGAGCCACAATGACGATAAGATCACATAAGGGATTCTTACAAAACCGCCTCAATCCACTGTATCTTGCGGAGCTGATCAAATACTCAACACCTTGTCTCTGTCTGGCAGGTGTTTAGGATGAAGGGGGGTGTGGGCAGCATCGAGAGTGAAGCAATAGGATGCAAGATTTCAAGGTGTCAGCACCACTTGTTCCAAAGCCAAATATACAAACAGCAACATGCATGTTCACAGCAGGACATGAGCCCTCTGTTTTCCCTTTGCTCTTTCTCCTTTTTTATATCTTGTTCCCTTTGACTTCTTTTGATAATCCCATGTCTGCTCTCTGTCAGAGCTGCTGGAAATATATTGGGTGGCGCTGTCAAGTAATTTTAACAGGACAATGCTTGTGGCTGCACTATAGATACAGCTGGAATTGATTGTGTATGAAGAGGATCTGCGGAAAGTTTTGTCGGGCTTAAAAAGCAATCACTGACTGGAGTTCCATTCATAAAACTTTTGAAATATCCTCAACCCTGGTAATGACTACTGGCTTAAACAGGCTTTTTAGGTGGCAGAAGTTTGTCAGGGTTTGTGATGGGTTTTGTTTGGGCCAAATCATTTGAAAACTAACACTAACACCTGAAGACCTTCAGGAAGTAGTCAAAATGACTCTGTGAAAACCCTGAGAGTGTCAAGTGCCAAGTAAGGACTAGCTCTCAAAATGACCTCAGGCTCAGTATTTTCAAAGAGGTTTTGAAGTGCGATTAAGTCAGACATTAGACAAGAAGCGATCTACAAATCTTTTGAGGAAGGAAGCGCTTGAGAACGTTTCATTAAGGTACATTATGTTTAGATCACGGGTCAGTTTTAAATACTAGTAATCCCACAGTCAACAGGAGCATTGAAGACTCAGGATATTTTACCAAACTATGACAACAACTGACAAAGCTGTGGTCTCTGCAGACTCTCTCCCTTCTCATTACTCGCTCTACGACATTGTTGGAAAACAACAAATAATGAGCAACAAGTTCTTCGTCATTTGGTGCCACTGGTCAGCAAGTGTCACTGATTGTTGCTGTCAAATAAAAACAAGGGATATATCCAAATGTCAAAATGATAATAGGCATTTATCATTATTTTATAAACCGATAAATCAAGAAAATAATCAGATTAATTGATAACTTAAATAACCATTAGTTGCAGCCCTACATGTGACTAATTTCAGAGGAAAATGAAGATTGGCCTAACTCCACAGAAAAGTCTAAAATATCTTTGTAAAGCCAGCCCCTGGTTATTGGAGTTGCCAGACAGTCATTGGGGTGAATCCTAATATTTATGACACCACTCTTGAATTTGTTACACAGCGTGTTGCGGGTCAGTATCATCTCAGATTATTGTAATATAATGAAAAAACAATATTTGCACAATGGGTTACAACTCGTCGTGTAAAATGAACCCATATCATCATTCTCTTTTTATGATGGTACAGGGCAATTGCTCAACCTAATGGTTGATCCACTGCACAGCTTAAACAGATATTGTGTGTTGAGAGCTTTGTCCAAATATATACCTGTGTCTGAAAAAGCTGTGGAAAAGCAGCAGACTATAATGCTTTTTTTCCATTGCTCAGGGGTCCAGATTTATGCTCATTATACCAGGTATTGTGTCTTTATTTGCTGGCTTTGGCTTAACGAACTGCATCGCTGGCATCATTACCTGCTCTGTGAAGCTCCTATTGTATATTTTTTGTTAGGCTTTCATAGAAATGTTGATTCAGTTCTACGGTAATACAAATGTGTACCCCTGTCAGTTAGATTCATGCTCATAGTTTGTTCTGCAAGTGTTTTTCTTTGCTTTTTCTTCTTGTTATTGTGGTTTCGTTACTTCAGACTTAAAGTGCTCTTCTATGAGGTGTTTGCACTGTTGTATACACCCGCTGTAGTAAGTAATGGGTGCTCTTTGTGTCTTCTCTTCCATTTACACCTCTCACATTCCTCGTCCATGTCTTTCAACAGCTGGCTTTGTATGTGCTGTCGTTCCTGGAACCGAAGGACCTCCTCCAAGCAGCCCAGACGTGTCGCTACTGGCGCATCCTGGCAGAGGACAACCTGCTGTGGAGGGAGAAATGCAGGGAAGAAGGTGAGTCTCAAGTCTCTGCAACGCATGCAGACAGACAACGGGCAGTCACCCAGCGGGAGCAGTCTGGAGCTACTGCTGTGGCCAATTCTGTGCTTAACGTTGTGGTTGTACCTGTTTTAAAATAAACTTTAACTGGGAAAAAAAATAGCTTGTTAGACCAATCAGCCTCCGTCTCTCTCCTAACAGGCATCGACGAGCCTCTGCCCCTCAAGAAGAGGAAAATCGTCAAGCCCGGCTTCACTCACAGCCCCTGGAAGAGTGCCTACATCAGGCAGCACAGAATAGACACTAACTGGAGGAGAGGGGACCTCAAATCACCCAAGGTAGCTTTTCCTTCAAACTTGAATTCCCCACAGGTTCACCTCAACTCAGCTGATCTTACAGATCTGATATCAAAAGACTTTGAGTCACAGAAGGATAGTTCAATAAGGGTCTGAAGTGTGGAGCTGATGGAAAGTTAGTGATGAGCCAGGTCCATGCTCTGCAGTATTCATGTTGAATGATAATTGAGCTGGAGCACAGGATGATCTTATTCTCCTTTAATCTAAAGACTCCATTTGTCTTTTGCCTGCTCAGAGGTTTCCCATAAAGCATGACCAGCATGCCAGAGTTGATCCTAAATGGGCCTTGGACGGCTTTGCTCCTTTATAAACAGCCGCAGGTCATTTCAGTCCGCCACTGATGTAAATTTGGTTACTGTGCTCTTCATACTCCTTTGCATATGCAGTGTGTTCTGTCATTTGCTGAGCTAGCAGTCCTATGACCCAGTATAAACCAGCAGATACCACACACACACACACACACACACACACACACACACACACAGACACAGACACAGACACAGACCGCATACTGCTCTGCTTAAAGAGCTGTGTACACCTACAGCACTTGATGACATTCTCCTCTTATCGCCTCTTTACTTTGATGTGTAAAGCACCAGAGACATGTCATTGTCATCATTGGTTCTTGCCTTTTGCTTTGTCATTCCATATCCACCCTTCTTCTCCGTCCTCCTCATGGCATCTCCTTTTTTATCTGTGCCATCTCAAAGGTGCTGAAAGGTCATGACGACCATGTGATCACCTGCCTCCAGTTCTGTGGCAACCGCATTGTCAGCGGCTCTGACGACAACACGCTGAAAGTCTGGTCAGCTATCACAGGAAAGGTAAGAATTAACTACTTGTTATATTTCCTGTCTAGTGCTTTGGTCATAATGACTTTCTTTCCTTCTGTGTCAGACGTTAATGGACTATAGGCACACGTTCATGTGAAATAATTTTCCAGAATTTTTCCAACTTGTTGATTTAAAAGTGAAGGATTACTGTTTACTAGCTATAAAGACTTTTTGTCATCATACATAGCACATAAACAACAGCTGCCTATCCAGCGCCTAACTGTGTTTATCTGTAGAGTCTTCACTTACCTGATGGTTAGTGATATTTGCTCTGTCACATAAAAACACATCCTGGCAGCACTCCCATCTATCTGTCTATCCTCTCCTCCTACATTTAGCCATTTTGCAGAGTTGTTACACAGCACATGTCCGCAAGGAGTGTTAGTATTCAAAGCTGAAGCCGGTGCAGCCACACAGGGCTTGTGCTGCAGCTTTACGCTGTGTATTAAACAGAAAGGCAGTTGTTGCACTGTGGTGTTGGGGAGAGGTTCACAGATTGTTGTAAATCACAACACTTTCATGCCTCTGTGTTGGATTTTCAAAAGAGCTTTTTAATAAAATCCTCTGAACACTGTTATTGCATATTTCTCATTCCCACCCTGTTTCTTTCACCTTTACTCAAATAAATGAGATAAGCTTGGGCTGTGAACTTGCTTCAAAAAAAAAAAAAAAAACCTTAGAGAAATTGATATTCTGCATGATCACACTGCAGCAGGTTTCTCTTTCTATTGGACACAATAGACCCGAGAGCTTGCTTTTCATTCTTGCAAAGTCTCGTCTAACAGATAGTAAAGTTGGCATTCAGCCCACTGGTGATTACACGCATATCAGTCACAGCATTTGCTGATCTGAACAGATTTCACCAAGGTCACCCGATAGGCATGGAGCACAAATTGGTTCTCCCTTCACCCAAAGACTTGGTATCTGGACGACAAGTTGTTGACTTACAGCTGCAGTGGCTCCACATTGGTGGTGGCAGTCTGCGATGAGTCATGTCACCAGCAGGCTCTACTGCTTTTTTGTGAAACCATCACGCATTCAGACAGACGCACAGTGCATTGTGTCCGTGGTTTCTACAATGCAAAGCCGGCTCAGAATTGTTTGTTTACATTAGTCATGAGGAAGAGATGAGCCTAAATCTGTTTCTGTTTGGGTGCTGCATTCAGAATACATCCCCTCTGTGGATTTCATCTCTTTGCTTATTTAGCTCTCAACACCAGAGAGAGAATCCCTCGCTGGAGAGCAATGGCCAATTAAGTCCAGTCGACCATTTCGGGTGAAGGGGCTGTCGATGCCAGTAAAACTGTAAAGTAAAAATACAATGGGATTCCCAGCACCTGCATTTGTTTTTCCTCCCCGCTGTCAACATCCTTTACAGTCGTTGCCATCTTATTTGAGGACTTGATTGCTACATTTTCCTCACCGTCAGTTCATCCCCATGAGACACAGGCCCATAAAGTGGCTATCAGTGATCTCAAGATGTTACACAGTTTGTGATGAATGGATGAATGCTTCTTGTGGTTCCCAATTCACATGCCAATATTCACTCCTCTTCTCCTTCATATCTCCTTCTCCTTCATATTGCAAATGGCCAAGATGGTAGGAAAATCTCTCCCCTGTAACAGTATAGTGAAGTGTTTTGTTTGACCTTGGTTTGCCTTTTTCCTCTCATGTAAATCCTCTAACCTCAAGAAAAGCGCAGACGAGCCTTCCACAGCTCAGCCGCTAACACCAGAACTTCGGTTTTACTCAGAATTGGATCAATAAAAGGTAGAAACACAATGATCAACAGAGATGAGGGACTCTTTTTTTCAGTCTGTAAACGTTCTCCTTTTGAAGTCTGATGCCATTAGACTGAAGACATGGTTTTCTTTTCTCTTTTCAATCACCTATGTTTGATTTTTGGGTTGTTTTCATTCATCAGACAAAAGCAGTCCCCGCAAATCGGTAATGAGTTTGGTGGACGATTATAGATTACAAGGCTAAATTGCCTCATGCTCTCGGAGATCAGCGGCTACCTCTGTGCTTTTCTTCACAGGAAAGATTTAAAATGCAGCTCTGGCAGCTTGCACTGTAGGTAGAGGATTTAAATTGATAGGATGGAAAAAGAAATTGGTCACACGGTAGACAAATTTTGCCAGAGGTAGAGCAGTGTTAACGCTTCCTCTCAGATACTTGTGCTCCTTTTTTCTCCGAAACTTTGTGTTCAATTTGGAGCGATCAAAAAGATTCCCCTGTGAACCAGACAGTGTCGGGTGAATCAAGTGATATTACATCACTGTGCAGCATCAAAATGTCCTCGTGTTATTTTCCACTCACAGTATCCCCACCCCAGCTCTAAACAGTGCATCAGATATGATGCTGACAAGATCATAACAGATGTTTCTATCAGTAGTTTAATGAATCTGTCCAATATCCTTTTTCTCTCTTTCAAGATTTGTTTGTGAATAGTTTTTTTCAGACTCACAGGGCATTTTTAGCACAGATTGCAGATCATATCAACAGGGTTATTTGCATGAACATGGCTTTCATTTTAAAATGTTCAACAAATATTCATCAGATGCCCTTCAATAAACACTAAGACACATACTTGGTATTGTTTCATCTCTGCAGACAGTTTTTGTCTTGCCCTTGATTTATCTTGTTATATAAACACAGAGCGAATTGAACTCTTGCTGTGAGGCAATCAGGGAATTATTATATGAGCACATTATATGTAAATGCTTCCCCACCTCTGAAACAAGTTGGCCGTTGCTTAGTGATCAGGTAAGACAATGGGGATTTGATTATGGTGAAAATATTGCATCAGAGATTGAACAAACTCAAGAGTTTGAAATTAAAGTGACACAAGAGCCTCTGTTGAGGCTTGAATCTGTGGTTCAGATTTACGGTTTGGAAGATTTTTTATTAAAGTTCGTTATTATTAAAGCTCAAAGTAGCCTTTGCTGAGACGATGCTCAAAGGCTTTGTCTTTACCTGATGGACCTTTGTCTCTGCGTTGTCCTCCAGCTTCAGTGAGAGATGTCAATCTTCCATTCACAAACACAAACAGCAGCACACATCTCTTTGCTTCAAAGGTGGCTGTCTGGTGCTTAACAGATCAGCGCATGTCCTTGGTGGAGCCTGTCAGCGGCAGCCTCAGCTGTCAGGCTGATCTAAGATGGCAGACCTGTGGACTGCTGTCACATCCAGGGAGAGGTGTCCTCTGCCAGATGCTTTAGCTGCATGGACACCCAGTTTACCTTCACCTCTTTTTAAATAGCTGAGATTAGGGATTGCTTTCTGAGCTGTGAACCCGATGGGAATATCATTAAGATGATTAGACATGGGGAGACCACTACTTACATTGTTAAATTAAATTCTTGACGGCCATCTAGCAGTTATGCACAACATGGGCTGTGACATTGCTTTTTTTTTTATAACATTGTATTTTTCTGTGAAGGAAAGCACAGTGTTATCTGTACATTTGCGACGTGACATCCTGTAAGTATTTTAGTAGCACAAGGAATGGAAAAGGGCAAACGTGTTGACATCCTCACAAAGCTCTCAGACCACCTTTAGACTTCACTAGTTTCAGTTCTGTCCCTTGTTCTACCAGCATTTCTCTGTCAGACAAGCTGGGAGCATGGTTAGTTGTTACAGTTGCAGGGAAAAGCATGTCAAGTTAACACACTTTGATATCAGGCATCGTGCTGGCTCAGTTGACCAAAGTAAATAATGAAGGTGGCAGCAGCAAAGATTTTTCCTCTGCCAAGATCATTTTTTATTGTATATCAGGACAACGTGGTGTTGTTGCATAATTCAATGTTCAGAAAGCAAAACAGCATTTGTCATTATTTTCAAAATTTTGGCCAATGTATTGAGTGTCTTATGTAAAACCATCAATTTAGATGTTTAATATGTAGAAAGTGTTGATTGGATCTGCGTTTAAGGTGTGTTTAATAGACTTCTGTATGTAAGTATGTAAGTATGCCTAATGTAGATTCAACTGTAGCCTCAGAAATCCTTTAATCATGTGATTGAGTGTATAATAATGACAGCTTGACCTGAGGTAGTTTGCTTTATCCTTTGCAAAGCAATAACTCAGTGCACCTTTAGTCCCATTGAGGCTTACTTTTTGATATTTCCTGCTAAGGTCAAGCCAGATGGATTTATCAATACAAAGGGAAAACTACACTATCTAGAGTATTTAGTGGTAATTGTGGCTGCTATACTTGATATCCACACACTGATTTTTTTTTTTTTCTCTTTAAATGAAGAGGAAAATATAATGCAAGTGTAAGGCATTGTATGAAAACCCTCATGTTCAAAAAAGGTCCTTCACAGGTTCATTAAAAAAATGCTAATCTTCTTTCTCTCTCAGGGACGGGCTTATTTTATGTTTGTTTCGCAGACAGATAAAGACGCCTAAGCCCTTCATTTCAGATATTCTCTCTTCCCACGCAGTGTTTGAGTAGGCTCTAATCACACACTGTGATTCTTGTTCTTGGAACCTCAACCACTGGCTTCGATTCACGAGAAAAATCTTGCATACTTAAGAGTACGATTACAATAAACTGCAGGGCTGTAGTTAAATTTTACACAGGCGTAGCTCAGCTTCGTCACAAATGTGGATTAAGACACATGTTGGACAGTCAGAAAGTTGTAAATAATCTGGATAATATACCATGTGTTTATGCCACGTAATAAAATGTAATTTAGTCAGATGTTACAGCTGCGGTATTCTCTTTTCACAGGTGGAACAAACCTATGAAAAAGGGCCACAGTGACAAACAAGAGACTTTTAACACTGTATTGAGGTTGATTGTAAGGTCATGCCACAGTGGCCCACAGTTAATGAAGTGATTCTCTTTAACACGGGACAGAGGCGGTTGAGACAGGCTTCAGCGTCATCGTTTCCCTCGCTGCAATAAAACCTCTTGCCCTGCACCACCATTCACTGCTCAGCGGCTTATCAGCTGCAGTCAGGGGGTCACATGTTGTACACTTCAGAGACACGCTCCACTCTGAACCTGACATAACCACAACGCTCACCAGTGACCACCTCCACAGTTTGCTCCTCTCCTCTCCCCAAAGAATTTTAATTTAATGCATTTAGCATAATTAAATCGAGGGACAAATGAGACAAACCGTGGAGACGCAAATTCAATTGATCAGAAAGATTTCCATAACTGCTGTAATCAATAGCTAATCTACCATCCCTAATGGGAATGAATGGGAGCATTTTTTATTGAAGACAGTTGTCAACCCATTCTGCAAAGAGAATAAATCGGCCGCTTTTGCAGCTGATAAGTAAAAGCAATTATAAAAGCCAGCAGAGAGCTCAGACAGAGATTTTGTCCCAGTACAGCAGCAGCAGGTAGAAATGATGGCGCTCTTCCCTCCCATAAAAGGTCGCACAAATTTCATTTTACTTGTCTTTTTTTCCCTGAAGGCAATCTGAGGTCATACAAGGGGGAAAAAAAAAAAGAGGAATCTCGAATGCGATTTTATGAAACTAATTTATAATACATGTGAATGAAATCACCCCGAAAGTCTTTGAAACTCACTTTTGTAACATCAAAAGTCTACAATAGGAGTGAGGAATTTACTAACCAAGAATCTTCTTCTTTGGTCTTTTCAGTGTCTGCGGACATTGGTGGGCCACACAGGGGGCGTGTGGTCATCCCAGATGCGAGACAACATTATCATCAGCGGCTCCACTGATCGCACACTCAAGGTCTGGAACGCAGAGACAGGAGAATGTATCCACACCCTCTATGGGCATACCTCAACAGTGCGCTGCATGCACCTACATGAGAAAAGGTATGGAGCAATCTCACCAGTAAATCTGTGTAAAAGAAAAAAACCAACACTTCTGTAGTGATTTTTGGCACCACACTGCTTTTGATATGATGCAAATTTAGGCAATAACTTTAGAGCTGCGTCAATTAGGTGTTCAACTGTTTTGAGTATGGATTAATGATTTAAGTCATTTTTCGATCAAAAAAGCCAAATATCTGGAAAATGATGGGCAGATTGATCAGTAAAGGAAATAATCATTGGTTGCAGCATAAGCTTAGTTGTTGCTAAATAAACCCAATTAACATGTACGTTATACTGTATCTGGAAATTCTGCCTTCATGTCAGGCATTTCAGCATCACATCCAAAAAATGTTTTATTAGGAATGTAATTGTATTAAATAGTTTAGTTTCATCACTCTCTTGTCTTTCAAATTCTGTTTTGTTGAGTTACGTCTGATTATAGTTCAGATTAATGATGTGTGTTGTTATGTAACTATGTGACACTTTTATTACGTTGCCATGAGGCCAGGTTTCTCTTGTTCAAAAAATTATATCTCCAGAGACTTCTGGTTAGGAAAAATTAAAACTCACTAATTAACACACTTTATCCCATTTGATTAATCCTTACAAAAAAGCAACAGTCTCAAGGAAGTGAAAAAAGTCAAAAATTCCTTTCATGTTCCCCATGAATCATAACAGTGATTCCCACCGAGCAAAAAGAGCAGCTCTACAACAGTAAAGGAGGACAGTATCTATATGAAAGTGAGCATGTGGTCTCATAGTGATTAAATAGACCCTGTGAGGCGTTTTAAGTGAACTGCCGCTCACTTATTTACTCAATATTACACTCCAGAGACTCAAAGTGCTCTTTTCGCCTTAGGGCCCACCAAGGTTTTTGTGTAGCATTTGATTGCTCACCCACTGGAAATGCTGTGAGCTGCAGGCAGGCTGTGAATAACATGTAGGTGATTTTCATCTTTGTAGCACTGAGGCATTTTATAAATAAAGAGTATGTGCTGTGTGTATCTACAGCATATTCCAATCTAAATAGCCTGCAAAAGAGAGAACTTGATAATGTGGAGGAATGTCTGTCTTTGTTTTTATTGAGGCATCGGCAGTCTGGTGGAAATTAAATAAAACAGCGTCAATCATTGAATAAATAGATTTTTTTTTTCTCTTCTGTTTCTTTTTTTTTTTTTAATATTAACTGTAAATAATATCCTTGGTACAAAAGGTATTAACAGTAATCTGAAAAATGCAAAACTCAAACAAACCGTAAACCTTCTTTCCTAAGGGGTGTTTCTGTTTTAATAACCGATAACATTTCTTTTCTTTTCCACTCTGGGTGAAGACGCTGCTCAACGGCGGCTGTTTGAGTTAAAGAAGTGTTTTTGTACATTCAAGTATGAACATGAACGTGACAGTGTGTGTTACTCGTCAGATGAACAAAAGAAAATGTTCATACCTGTCTCATTATTCTGTCAATGCAGCTACCACAGCTTGAATGACGAGTTGTGAGGAGGGTGTTGAGTTTAATCTTACAGAATGCGTAACTTGTGGGAGAAGTTCTTCTCAGGGGAAAAAAACAGCTCAACGTACAGACCTCTATTTAATTTGTTATTGTGTTAACTGTACTACACCCAGACTCAAACATTCAACCTTTACTCTGTCTTAAAACTTAATGCCATCCTGTCCGTCCTGCTTCCTCTCAGGGTGGTCAGTGGCTCTCGTGACGCCACGCTGCGCGTCTGGGACATCGAGACAGGTCAGTGTTTACACGTCCTCATGGGCCACGTGGCGGCAGTGCGCTGCGTCCAGTACGATGGGCGACGGGTGGTCAGCGGTGCCTATGACTTCATGGTTAAAGTGTGGGACCCCGAGACGGAGACCTGCCTCCACACGCTGCAGGGCCACACCAACAGAGTGTACTCGTTACAGGTGAGCAGCTTCAGAGACACAAAGACAGGAACCGTGTGTGTTGGTGGTTTTCTGTATTTGTACAGCAGAAATGTACTTTTGATCTTTTCACAAATGTTGATCATATTCCATATTAGATCTTTTACGCATCAAAACTAATGTTAGCAAGCTACATTAGTTTTGTCAGCTATGCAACAGTTGCACCTGATAGTTGCTTGATGTTAGTCACCCACTTTGGCAAAAACTATTTTGTGTGTTTTTGTATTAACGGAATTTAGTGACAGTAAGTAACTAGTAACTCCAATGAATGTGTAAGTTATACAAAGGCTAAGTTTGAACCTAAGAGCAGCAGGAGCAGTTGGCTGGATGACCGTTTATAAACTGTGCATGACTCCCCGAAATCTCTCTCCTTGTGCTCAGGTAGTTGTTTTTGTGGCGCATGAAAATCCATAAACAAGGCAATTGATTTCACAATATTAATCTTCATTTTGTTCATATTTATGTACAATTTTATAACTTCTTAATGTGTCCTCTCCAAATGTGTTATTTGCTTGAAAAAATTAATTCCTGTGTGTCCTCTAAGATGTCCTCTCAACCGCTCTGTGTGATGACAGTGCACTTTAGCGGGTACCGTCGCCCTCAGAGAGGAGGCTGTTTAAACGTTTAAACGTGGGAACACAAAGCTTTCACAGATCAATAAAATTCATTAATTTCAATGAGTTTAATCTTAACTTTAATCTTGTTAATAGAACCAAACTATGTATGTAGGCACCTGTGCCATCAACTGCAAATTAAGTTGACATCTGCGGTTACCTTGAACCGGCAACTTGATTTCCAGCCAATTGAAATTGACCCTCTCTGTCTCTAGTTTGATGGAATCCACGTGGTGAGCGGCTCATTGGACACGTCTATAAGGGTCTGGGACGTGGAGACGGGCAATTGCATCCACACGCTAACAGGGCATCAGTCACTCACCAGTGGCATGGAGCTCAAAGACAACATCCTGGTCTCAGGCAATGCAGACTCCACTGTCAAGATCTGGGACATCAAGACGGGCCAGTGCCTGCAAACACTGCAAGGTGAGTGCACCATCTCAGCAGGGTGTTGTATCACTCACACTAAGCAACTAGCTAAGTTAATTTAACACATCCCCAGTGCAGATCTAAGTCATTCCTTAAATTGCAGCAGAGCACTTAGAAAAATGGAAGGGACTAATGTTAGGAGAGCCAGAGGAAAAAAAAACCTTTACTATTTACTCTGAACTGTAAATGAGCCATAAATATATGAATATATAGCTGTACATAAGTGTAGAAAAATGGCAGCGCCAACCTTAAACACCAACAAAAAGCATCCAAGTTTAGACTTGAAACTGATGGTTCAGTTAGAACCGAGACGAAATGACCTGTGTGTGTGCGCGCGTGTGTGTGTGTGCGTGTGTGTGTGCGCGTGCGTGCGTGTCTGTGTCTGTACTCGGCCAACACCTTGTGGGTCTGCTGGCCCTGATTAGTCTCATTTTCTTTGTGTCAGTTTGAATAGCTTGAACTCCATTAGCAGCACTGGTGCCTCACAGGAAGTTGGAAATCCTTTGCTTGAATAGTAGTGGCAACCACCATTGCCCCGCCCCTAAATGCCCTCATTAACAAACTACAACCCTGCGTGTTGGTCCTCCCAACACCAACACACACACACACACCCGCTGAACAAAAGGATTCCCTAGTGAGAGTCTGAAGAGAGGCAGGGATAAAACCAGGGGGAGGATGTGTGTGTGCCTTGTTAAGAGGGGGCAACTACAGTGAGGGGAAGAGGGCAGGGGAACTTTGTGGGTCACATAATTAGGTCAGTGGACAATTTCTGCCAAGCATTTGCATATTCATTTATGTGTTTTGATAAGACAATAGGCCAATAACAAGGCCATCACTGTCAGCTGAAGGGAGTATAGGTAGTGATGGAGCAGGCTGCTTTGTTGTGGTAATGCAGAGAGAGGGAGGGAGGAGAGAGGCGGGGATGTTGGGGGTTGGTGCAGAGCATTATTGTATACTCGGGTAAATAACACAGCCTTTGAACTAACCGGAGACAGAAATGGAAAAGATGTGAAAGCTTGTTGACTCTGAGATTTCGACAGATTTTCTCTGCAAATGGATTGTGAAAGCGGAAAGAAATTAAATTTCTGAATGAAATGGCTGCTATAGCAACCTCAGCAAAAAAAAAAAAAAAACAGTTCATTTGCCTGCACTTGATTCTGAGCTTGTTTGTGTTTGTGTCACCCTAATTGATTTAATTAAGATATCATTTTCATGTCCTTAGGGGAATCTTAAGTCGCCGCACACATACAGCCACAAATAAAGTCACCTCAATGAAAGCAGTAACAGCCGCCATCTTCACTTTAACTGTGGCCTCCTGCCAGCTGCCAGCACACAAACACAGCAGACAGAAGTGTAGCTGGAGCCGCTTAGCCTCCGCGACAGTGATAGGCCTGAGCGTCTCACTGCAGCCCGTCCTAAAGCCTGACTACAGCAGGAAGACCTCACTACACTGTCACATCAACCTCAGGAATAAGGGACAAGCTTTTCCCTTCTCGCTGACTTAATAAGGTTTTTGTTTAGAGATCTTTATTCTGTAGCTGGCTTCTTCTGCCACAACTCTCTTTCATTTCAAATTCACCCATCCACAACTCTGCTCACTGCATTCCTCTAGTTATTAGGAATGACAAGAGGAGCTATAGGAGGAACTATAGAGTCCGGGTCAGGGTTCCCTCCATGAAAGTGTTTATTCGAGGTTGTAAGCTTCTCGTCACGATCTGTTTCCTTAGGAGATGACAGCCTAACCGACAGACAAACTCATTACATACAGCATTTGCTCTTTTCTCCTGAAACTTAATGTTTTAGGTTTATATGAAATTAGTGGAGATGATCTACTTCAGCTATAAAACACTGTGGAAAACCCAACAGGAACTAAAAGTCCCTCTTGCACATTACTGTGTTTTCATCACAGTTGAAGAACCATGGACAGTAGATAACCAGAAGCAGACACAACTTTTTGCATGAGTAGCAACATAGTCATCATGTTGTCCTTTGTCATGTACTGATGCATGCCGGTGACTTTTTTTGTCCCACATTGGAAAGCAGATGTGCAGAGGCAGAAATGGAGACTAAAAATGCCAGAAAGGCGAGATGCCTGTTGTAGCAACAGCCTGCAGTGTGATGCCCAGTTATTTTTCTGTTTTAGTACATAACTGGAGAGTTCCTGTAGTGAAAAAGACTAAAGCTTGTCCTCGTCATTCTCTACGTCACACTTCATCCCTTTAACCATTTTTTTTCTTTGTGCGTTCAGGTCCACACAAGCACCAGAGCGCCGTGACGTGTCTTCAGTTCAACAAGAACTTTGTCATCACCAGCTCGGACGATGGCACAGTTAAACTGTGGGACCTGAAGACGGGGGAGTTCATCCGAAACCTGGTGACTCTGGAGAGTGGCGGCAGCGGCGGTGTGGTGTGGCGCATCCGGGCCTCCAACACCAAGCTGGTGTGCGCAGTTGGCAGCCGCAACGGCACAGAGGAGACCAAGCTGCTGGTGCTGGACTTTGACGTGGACATGAAGTGAGAAGGGACGTGGTGGGGAAGCATGAAGAGAGCGCACTGCGGAGAGGGAGGAATAGAGAGAGAATGGGGGATGAGGCACCTAGAAACCAGAGGGCCAACGCCGCAAACTCTTCACCCAAACTCGCAAAATCTGCAACCACCACCACTAACAGTGGGCTGTCCTGTCCTCTACAATTATCTCCCCCGTCCCCCTTTTGGGTAAATGTTACTGACAAAGCCACAGACCCTCACATGTGTTTAGCCCCTGCTTTGTACCCCTACCACCCGTACGAGGTGGAGCCAGAGGGGATCGGGCTGGAAATGGGGCAGGGGGCCATGACCGGTCTGTCCCTTGATTAGCTGGGAGAAAGAAGAGAAGAAGAAAGGAATGACTGACGACTGAACTCTTTTGAAGTGACTCTCCACCCTTTCGGTTCGGGGGCAGCTTCGCACAGAGACTTGGTTTCGCTTCAAGCCTGACAGATTTTGAGATGTACAGAGATATATTATTTTTTAAAGCCCCAACCCCCACCCCCCCATCAGTACGCGCCCTCAAACACACACACACACACACACTCAAACCAGAAGTGGAAAACATTGACCGTAGGAAAAGATTGGGGAAGGTGGGAGACGTTTAAAGGTGAATTTCCACACAGTTCCACGTGAAAAAGCTGCTTGATGTAGAGGAGAGAAATCGGAGAGTTCAGCCTGTAATCAGGCTCGTTTCTTGTCACTCCATTTCCGTTCTTGTTCTCCACTCGGTTTCTGTAGTTTGATTTCTTTACAATATCGCACACAAACACAACTGTGAATTTCAGTACCTTTTGGGTTTATCATATGAAAGGGGTTTCTCTATTGATGTTGTTTTTTTGTTTTTTTTTCCTCTTTCCTTGCCGTTGCCAACAGCAACAAATCCCAGTATTAGAAACCTGCTCGGTTTAGGTTTGCTGTCATTATGTCACAAGGTTTTTTGTTTGAGTTGTTTGTTCTTCCTTTCTGTTTTCTACATACCTGGGTTTGGAGCTCCATCTCCACATAAACATCAATGCTGTCCAGAATTTTTCAGTCTAGCTGGGGTGGTTTCCTCAATGCCGGTGCTTAACGAGAAGTAAAGGTTCTTTGCTCAAAGCGCTGTGGATTAATGCCCCTGAACCCCCCAGCCCCTTCCCCTCTACTGTTTTCCCCCAGTGGCCAAACTGTATTTATGCTGCTAGATGAATGGAAAAAAGAGAGATGGAACTTTTACTTGCTGTGACGTTTTAGTCCCAGGCGAAATTCCAAATTGAACTCTGTATGTTTGGACTTCAACAAAAGATGACAAAAGATAACATCCAACATTTTTGTTTTGTTTTGTTTGTTTTTGCCACTGAAACTTGAGCCAAACGTGCCTCTACGAGGCTGAGAGGAGGGAGCGCGTCCGACAGATTCTGACGGGATCGCCTGCAGAGAGGAAACAAGCGGATGTACACTGTTGGCGTGCGTGTGTGTGCGTGCATGAGTGCGTGTGTTAAGCGTGTTAATGGGCAACTTGTAAACACATTCCTTGGGACAAAGCTCTTTCGGCCTGTTCTTTGGGGAAATGTACAAATGCTGTGTGGACTGGCAAAGAAAAAAAAAAACTAGCAGATGTATCAACTTTAACACGTGAATGAGAGAACTGTTCGTATCCATGTGTGATTGTTGTTCCATTCAAAGATGTCTGAAGCAACAGAGGAGACCATCACAAGCATCAAGTGACAGGTCGAGCTGCCAGGAGTCTTAGTGTTACATGTGTTGCAGTGAAAATCACCGCGGTCGCAGCCTCGTGGATCGTCAGTGGGAAACATAAAAACACAAAGGCAACAAACGTGAACTGAAACATTGTAGCCAAACGAAAAATCGTCTCAATCTCCAAGAGTCACAACTCAAGCTGAACTGTGAAAGTGGTATAACACTGTATATTAAAAAAGAAAAAAGAAAACAATCTTGCTCTATCTCCTCTCGTTGTTTTCTCCCTCTGTTTTAATTTATGATCTGGTTTGAGAAATCAGATTTGTTGCAGGTGTTTTATTTTTTCAGTTCATGTAAACTGCCTGGCAAAAAAGAAAACAGACAGAAAAAACCTTAAAGGGATTGTGTATTTGTTTGATTCACTTAGAATTTTATTTTCTTATAACTTAAGTGCAATAAAATGTGGGTTTTTCTTTTTTCATTTCAAGCATATCAGTTGTCTGTTTTTGTTACCTGTGTGAAGGCATCTTATATGTTCAATAAAGCAAATTATTTGGTTAATTACATCCACGAGGGAATACTTCCAACATTTATCACAGCGCAGGTTTACGGGCCAAAACAATCACAGCCATTCATTGTAGGTCAGAGTTTCCTTCAGTGGCAACTCTACTTGATCCAGTGGAAGGAATGAATCATCTCCTCTGTTCTGCTTCCTGTTTGTTTCTCAAGTCACGATTATCTAAAAGCATAAAGCTGGCGATTTTCTATATTTGTTGTTATTGTGCCCTGAAATGACCAAAACCAACTGTGCATTAGTCTGCCTCTTTCAGAAATTTGGAAGAAAAAAAAAAAAAGTTGATATATAGATAAAAGCAAAATGCAACAATGTGCAATGGAATCAGACTTAATTAATCACGACGACCATGAAGCATGTGACTCAAACTTCCACTGACAAGACTAAAAATAGCAGAAGATGAAAACATGAGGAGACTAACCTTCCTCAAATTAATACAAGAAATAAACACAAATGCCATATTTCCATAATCGATTTCATTTGCTTGACATTGGACTGGAGCTCTTAATTACTGCAGCTTTTGTCCTTGTAGCCTGCAGTGGTTTAACGGCGCTGGACACTAACAGCTAGTAGTAGTTGCGAATGTACTTTCGCTCGCATTTTCCTTTGTCGATTGTCTGGAAATATACTTAAAATTTCCACTAAATTTGGATGGACCTTTGGGTTTGTGGCCCCAAGACTATTGGTTCCTACAGCGGATGAAAACGTTTAATAAGTCACAAAGGCAGCTGTAGTTTTTGGCAAACATTACTCAAACAGAGGTAAATAGCGCATTTGCTGGGGACTATTTTCTCTCTAGTGGGTATTTATAGCAGCAAGAGTGTGTTATGTGGGATTGACCCAAAATAAATTACAGTGCTCTTGTTTATTGTAATGAAGGAACAACAACGGAGCTCGATGGCACAAAGGAATAAGCTCTGCGGCTTTGGCCTTACAGGCAATACTTGTTAGTAAGATCTTATTTTTTTCAAGGGATTTGTTGACAAGAATAATAAAGAGTATCACCAGTTCAATGTTACATACAGTGGGGCCAGTCTGAGGTCTGTTTCCACAGAATTTAGCAGGATGTTCTTTGGTAAATTGAAAAAAAATTGATCAACATCAGTTTGCAGATGTCTCTCTGGAATCTGGGATCTTGTAATGGTAATTGACTATTTTTGGATATTTTATAGACTAAATGATTATTTGATTATGAAAATTAATCTATGTTTGCAACCTTAGACATCGTTGCATTTGACTGCACAGAGTGACGCTTGAGCTAGGTAGCCTTAAGAGGCAGATGTAAAAATTTTGTCATTAAGAATTGTATTTTTTAATCCCGCTGTTTTTTTGGGGAGTGTAATTTAGTTGAAAGAGATTAATCTCCCCTCTAGAAAATGATAATGGACTCTTTTTTTCCATTTAGTCTTTAATTTAATTCTTGTTTTTCAACCTATTAAGATAATTTATGCATTTTCAGCCTCACTGATGCCAGAACAGAAGAACATGTTGCATTCACTGTCTCAGCTGTATCTAAAGCTCTGTGAAGGCAACCGGGGAACTATTTGAATGTGACCCTCTGTTTTGTTTTGTTTTTTTTTTGGTCAGTGTCAATTATATCCAGACGGTTATCTGTCATGAGCCCATACAGCTCAGTGTAGCAGCAGTAACAGGGTCTGTGCTGCGGATTCCCTCCTGCCTGTTGCCTAGTGATAGCTCGTCTCTGGCCCGGCCTCAGAGCTCAGTGTGCACTCACAGTATAAACGGTATTGTGAGGAAGCAGCAAGAGCTGTACATCCTCACATGAATGGACGCGTGGGGGAGTTTCCACTTTGGTTGGCAAGGTTACTCCGTCCGCCTGTTTGTTCCCAGGCTCCACTCATGTGTTGTGTAAGCAGCAGCTCTGCTCCACTGACTGGTCATGGAGGATAGTAATCGACTTTTTTTTGATAGCCTAACAGAATATTTGTTTATAAATGTTTTTCTTGCTTCACACATGGACATGAAATGTTATAACGAATCTATGATGTAGAGTTCATCAGCTTTGTTAACTGATTAATGCTTTTGCTACAGTTGCAGTGTGGCTCTATGAAAAGCTGTCAGTGTGACACTCAGACTGAAACTCTTGGATGGATTGCCATGAAATGAAAACACAGCTGTGCACCAGTACAGCCTCACAAAGCTGCTAGAATGGCTGCAGATTAGTTTTTGTTCTCTAGTTACAGCTTCTCCCATGTGAGATTGTGCTACTTTTGTCAGTTCTTATGCCTCTGCGCTGGTGACAGCCGTGGCCGGAGGCATTATGTTTTCAGGTTGTCCGTCTCATTCCCCTGACCGCGATATCTCGGGAACAACCTCAAGGGAATTTTAAATTTGGCACAAAATTCACTTGGACTTCGGGATGGACTGATTAGATTTTGGTGGTGAAAGGTCACTGTGACCTCACAAAACTTGTCTTTGGACAACTGAAGTAACTGCAACTGGACTGGTTGGCGGATGTGTACAACCACGAGGTGGTACTTATCGTAGCCTAAATTATTAGAAATTTAATATTTTTGGGTTTTGGACATTTCTTCCTACAAAACAACACATTTCAAGACTATTACTTTGGGCTCTGGGAAAATGTGATGATACATTTTTTCACTATTTTTGGGCATTACCTAGATTAAAAGATTGATACAGACAAAAGCAGTTGAAGAGGTGCTCACATCCTTCACCGAAGTTTAAGAAGCAAGACTGCACCACAGTGTAAAAACAGTGTTTATGAAACTTATCCAACCTGTGTAGTCCGCTCCACATCTCCGCCTGGGGCTAGGGTTAGTAGCATAACACACCTGAATCTTTTGAAACTTTTGAACTCCTTTACATACTACTGTGGTAGTTTAATCCAATGACAGGCAAGAACAATAAGGAAACAAATATACATTTTAATCTTCACCTGTACCTAGTTACTTTCCAAAACTGAGAAAATAAATAATAGCTGGAGAATCAATAATGAAAGTAACTGTTGGCTACAGCTCTACTCCGGTTTAGATTTCTTAAGTGAGGAAATAACATTCGTAACATGTACTTTTCTTGGAGAAAAAGCTCAATGGTTCATATACTGTAACAAACAAGATCATCTGGACTAGGAGACACTGATGTATCTCCACAGGCAGTCTTTTAATGAACTTAATTCTAGGAAGTGATGAATCATCTCATTCCTTGAGGTTATTAGCCATTTATCTACCTTACACTTACTGCCTGGACTGCACTACACTTCTTCCTCTTGATGAATGAATGTCCCTCTCTCTGCTCTCACCGCTCAAACGAACCACGTCTGCTGTTGCCCTCAGCACTAACTCATCCAGCCACAAACAACACGCCACGGTCATGAGAGATGGAAACCAGTGAGGGATGCACCTCCGCCAAACAGATTTTGATGGCATGGGATGCATTTAAGGGGTTTGGATGTCAAGATAAAAGAGATAGAGGGGGGCTCCCACACCTCATTTCATATCCCTCCATCTCTTTGTTCAGTAATCCTGCCCTGCAGCATCGTGGCTCCTCTCATTGCCAGCAGATTCTCAAAGGACTGTAGCATTAGCAGTGGTAGCGTTTCACGTCTCTGCTTAATCCTATTTTGGACCTTTGTTGTAGCCCGAGAACTGATAAAGGAGAACTTAATCGCCATAACCTGCTGTCAATGGATGATGTTGAATGGAGTTCAACATTGATCTGTGCATATAGGTTGATCTAAACTGTTTTTGTTTCCTTCAGGCAGCTGATGTTGATGTCAGCCATTTGTCTTCACGCTTCCCCCTCTGGATAAGCACATACATTGAAGGCTGAGGGGTCAGGAGGTTCACTTAACTCCAATGTGGCTCAAAGTGTGAATTTGACAAGTCTGACCTTTTTCTCCTTTACAGTTGTCTTACCCCCCCCCCCCCCAAAAAAAATCTGCAGTTCTTGAAAACCGCCATTGAAATGCCAGGTTTGTCACTGGTAAAATTGGCCATCTGAATGGATTCCTGCGTTTGATCACAGCTCAGCAGCTCACCAAATCACATCTTGTGTTTCATAATGAGATGTGTCAGGGCCATTCTCGGGTACAATAATCCTGCATGAGAGAGCTTGAAGCAGAAATATTCATTCACCTTTTCTCTCTTTTTCAAATCAGGCACGGTTAATAACACCCAGGTGAATGCAAGGCAGATCGGATCAGCTGAAGCCCTTTGATTGCCCTGATGGGATTCATGCCTGACTGCCGGTATCAAGAACCTGACAGCAGGAGGTAAAACTGCAGGGGTCATTCATTCACTCAATATCCAACACACCTACAACCACAAGACATTTATTTTAAATCACGGTTGAGTTTTCAGTGTCTCAATAAATTACAAATCATGTCAGGCTGAATTATAAAGAACATCTAAAATTTTCTGTTTCAACTCTGCATACTGTACTTCAGCATAACTTTGAGGAACTTATACTTTACTTTGTGCGACTTTGAATCTACAATTCAAAGCAAAATATTACATATTCTTTACCCCACTAAATTAATTTAACAGCTTCATTTACTTCAATTCTACAAATATGGCTGCAACTAACAGCAATTGTGAGTCCAAATACTCAAAAATGTTAAAGGTTTAGTTTACAGTGACAAAGAAAAGCAACAATTTTTTTTATAGCTTGAAAAATGACTGAAATGGAAATTAATTGATTATCAAAGTAGCCTAGTTGCAGATTAATTTTCTGTCGATCAATTAATATACATACACAACTAATGGGCGCAAATATAATATGAAGCATCACTACGGATTAAAGGCCTGCATGTCCACAGAGGTGTTTTTAAATCACTGTGGCTGA